TAATTTACCAAATTTGAAAGAAAAATCATGACTAGCCAAGCACTAATCCCAGTAAATAACCCCGCTGAACTAATTTTAGCCGAGATTGAAGCCAAGCACGAACGCTTTAAACAAGAACGAGGAGAGTATTTAACCGCCTTTCAAAAGTTAAAACAACAACTTAACCACATTGAGAACCAAATAAAACAGAAAGACCAGAAAGAGGGACAATGATTAAATTTACTACGTAGTTATTGAAGTAATGAGGTAGATATCTTCCACTTAGCTCAATCTCTCCAAACTGGCTCCTTGCCTAGCGAAAAGGCTAAGATTATTGAACGGATAAAACAACTCAACAAGCCTAATATTAAAGTTGAGAAAGATTTTAAAAAGAAGAGTTGGTGAGGTTGAATTAGTAAATTATTATTTTGGTTGGTGGTAATTGGATTAGGGATTGGAGTAGGTTTTTTTGCTTATTGAAAGAGAGAAAATTGGAAATTTTGATAAACGGAGGAAAAGTAATAAGACATGTTTATTTACCATAATTCTTGTCATGCTTGCTAATATCGATTTCTCAGGCTTGATTATTTTTTCACTGAAAAATAAGACGATACTGGTCATTAATTCTCATGCTACAAAGGTTTTCAACTCTTTTCACTTTTAATTTTTCAGGTTGATTACCAAAAAAAATAAATAAGTCTTGTCATTTCTCGGCATCAAGTAAGATTTTCAGTTTTCTTCGTAAAATTTTTTCAATATTCTTCCAGTCCGATTTCGAAGGAAGTTCTAACTCATTAGCCAAATCTTCCAGTTCTTTATTTTTGAATTTTTTTAAATTAATCGGTTTCATCATCGTTGGCGAGGAATAATTTGGGCTCTTAATTGATCCATCTTAGCGGCTAAAAGTTTTTCCTCATAAGACTTTTGCATATTCATTCAAAATTGAGCTGTACTATCGAAAAAAAGAGCTAATCGAACAGCTAAATCGGGAGTGATGTCTCCTCTTTCTTCACATATTCATTGAATTTGTTCTTTGGGAACTTCAATCTCCTTCGCCAGTTCTTCCGGACTGATATTACTAGGAATTAACAATTCTTCTCGTAAAATCTCTCCAGGGTGAATTGGAGTTAATCTTTTTCTTTTTATGTTGTTTTGGTTAGTCATGGTCTTGTTCTTTGTTTTTAATTAGAAAATTAGTAAACTTATACTTTGGCTGGGGATTGTTTAAGATAATAATTCAGTCTCAGTGAATAATAGTGTTATGCTCGCTTTCTTGGCCCACAAATTTCTCTTGAAATTTTTTTAAAACATATTCACTGCTAACTCGGGGGTAGTAAATAATGTCTTCATTGGCTGGTGAGTTGATTAGAATTTCGTGAATCTGCTTTCTTTGATTTTCATCGAATAAGTCATCAAATTTCGGGTTGCATTTCTGACAAAAAACCAACTTACATTCTCTACCTTTTCTGCAATCATTTATTAATTTTCAGAAATAGGGATAATGAATGAATTCAATTTTGCTTAGATTTCTTAAAATAGTTACTTCTGTTTCTGACGTAATGTTCATATTCTTAATTTTTATTTTAAACCAGTTTACAATATATTATTTTCTTTCTCCCTAAGTCAAAACACACATCCCCTTAATTTGATTATAAGCAAAAATGCTTTATAATTAACTTACTTTTTTATGTATTGAATATAAAACCATTAGAGATTAAAAATTGCTTATGGAATTGCTTGTGTTTAGTTTACTAAATAGGTTGATGCTTCGTTTATGAATTAGCCCTTACCTTTATGAATAAAAGTATTATTTA